ATAAAAGAGAGGCCTGATTTTTTTGCTGTTGGTTTTGCCTCTGTGGAACGTAACTACGTTATCAGTGATCATAACCAGATGTGAGAGGTCGCAGACATCGTCCACCTTCTGAATACATCTAACATTTTTGCCATTTCGGGGATCTTAGTAAAATATGATGTTGTTGCAGTGACCTTCAATACCTTCACCTTTAAGAGACGGAGCGATATGTCATCATTCCATCTAAAAATAGCAGCATCAGTTTCGGCGATGTTATTCGAAAATTGATTCGTATAAAAGAAATGTCTGCGCCTTCTGTGCCTACTTGAACAGGTGTATGATTGTTCCATCCTTCCTCTCTTCTTTAATGTTACCCTGAAATTCCATAGATAAGAGCGGTCCCTTAAAATCGCTATCTTTCTATAATTTTTTATAAAGTGGGCGGAGTATAGAGTTGAGGGGCGGAGCTTCTTCTAAACTTCTCATCCAATTTTTATTTATCCATCCATCAAGTTAGAGGGGTGACTGCATTCGATTTCAATTTTTTTCAATTCATTTTTTCACCGGTAAATCAAACCGCTCTTATCTATGGAATTTTAGGGTATTATGACCTCAAGGCTTAAGCATTCCATTTGTGTTACGAATTCAGTAGAGGAAGGATGTTTGGTATATATTTCATTTTACTATCGATGTCTCACCCCTCTCAACTTGTTGGGCACCACCTACGTTGCATTGGTCACGTTTTTTTTACGGTAGTGACCCCAGTCGGTCTCATCGATGCTCTGACTTCCTTAGACCAACTTCAAACAGGCTTATTACGAAGGTATGCGTAGTCGCTCTGTATGCTATAAAAACAGACTCGATGAACTCCTTTATACAAACTCCTACACACTATGAATGTGCATGGTCTCGGGATCCGACCGACATCTGGCCAAGCCACCCATGCCTGCCGTTCCCCACGGGGTCAATCGGACTCATTTGGGAGGACAACTTTATTGACTCATACATCAGCAGACCACGACATGCCGAGTCATAGTATATGCTATGCATTCAATACTAAACACTAATTGACGCCAAAGACGTTGACCTCTCGTCTTTTATTCCGAAGAGAACATTTCACCTTCACCGTTTTTTTTTGCGTGACGTCGAGAATTCAGAAATTTAAAAGCTTGCCTTTGGTTTTCAGGCAATGATGGTGATCGATACTTATGCTAACCCTCAGGCTCGTAAGGATGTCGGAAATATGTTTGAAACAAACCCAAATCTCCTCGTACTGTACGGTGCACTATGTCCAGTCAGATATCAACGTGAAGTACGGTTATATGCTTATCCATCTGAATCACCAACATACTGGTTTCTTCTGAACAGGCAGAAAGGCTGGACGTAAGTTCTCCACTTATCGTACTTTCCAGAGGGTTTTTGACTAGGTTCGAAATTGCACAAAAGCTGTGATGAGTTGTTCCGTTCCCCTTTTTTCCAATGAATCGTCGTCACACCATAGTATTGGACTTACAATGTCTAATTATTTCCTTTTTCCTACCGAGTGGAGAGGTGGTGCAGGAAATTTTGTGTACCGGTGCGGCAGATGTTCTTACTTTTCGAATTTCGATACAAAACTTACTTCTGAGCCCTATAGGTGTACCAATATTTACGAACACCCGTGCTCCAATAATTCAAACACAACTGCCCCCATATCAAGGTGACCATAAAAAGCTGAGAAGCTATATTGGGTTTTCTGCTCGGGTCAAACTTCAGGAACTCACTTTACATCTTTGAATGTTAGCTCTTCATTTACGCTGTTCAGGCCAATGGTCATAGCAGCACAACAAGGTGACTCCTATGACGCTACGACATTTCTCCTTGCACTGAAATTATTCTTCGAAGAGACGCATTTACTCAAAAACGAAATTGATATCGAGTTTGGCGCTGAATCACACATGATGCATGAGGTATATACTAGATGCCTGAAAGAGCCAAATATCGAAATTTCGGTTCGCCCGGCTTTTACAACTTTCATTTCGAAACGGGAAAGGATCCAAAAATTGGAAATCAAGTTTTAATCAGATTCCCATGTCGGGACACCGGCTACGGAAACGGTCTCACTACAATAAGTTGCCAAGGAAAGGAAAGAGGATTCAAAAATAGGAAATCAAGTTTAAATCAATTTCCCGTCTCCGGAGGCCAGCTACGGAAACGGTCTCACTGCAACGAGTTGCCAAGAATCAAGTTTTAATCAGATTCCCATGTCGGGACACCGGCTACGGAAACGGTCTCACTACAATAAGTTGCCAAGCACTCTATTGCTCCCTTCTGAATACTCAGCCACAAAATGGAAAACCCAATTAATCTTTGGGATGCAAGTCAAGTTCAAGCTCCCACAGAGTCAAAGTTATCCCATATGATTCACCACTTCTTTCACTGCAACATGTGCATGTATGACGCCATTCTTGACTTAGTAAGAAAGGAGTCCTGTGCTAATTTCCGGGGGGCAGATGCCATTCGTGATTTAGTGAGGTGGGGGTGTGGTGCAGTAGGAACGAAAACGTCGCGTCGCGGCAAGAGAGGCGCCGCGCGCGGAGGAATGTAGCAGAATGCAGCGGTAGGTAAGAAATATGGGACAAAAGAACTAACAGTAGAACCATGCCAAAAGTAATAATTGCATAGCGATCGAGCAGAAGAACGCTAGAGCCGTAATAACGGCGAAACGAAGTTTGCGACAGCCGTGTGCGGCGAATCGATTACACAAAACCGTTCCTACTGCCCGTCTTTCAGTGAGGTGGTGATCATACCGTACTGTAGAAAAATAGTAGGGCACATATCCTGCAAATTGTTTTTATTTTATACTTACTTTTCACCTAATTTTTCTTTTTGCAGATCGCCAAGTATCTAGTGGAATCGACCAATCTTCAAGCTGGCCTTCGTCGAGAGCACTATGTGTTCTATATGACACCCGATCAGATGCAAAATGCTCAAAAGGTAACCAAATCGAATAGTCAAAAGTTATTACGCTGTCATCAATTAGAGAATGATTGGTGACAGGAAGGCGGTCATCACCTTTTAGGTATCCTTTTAAGCTGGCAGGAATGAAATGCAATCCTAGCGTTCAAGTTCAAATCGTTGTCTTTAGGTTGAATGCGCTGTCCCCTATGGATATGAGATTTCTGATTTGACAACCGATGACGCCGAAAAGATCCACGTAGCATCTGAAAGCAAAGAGCCACTCGAAACCTTCAGGTTGGATTTTACTATTTAATGAGCAAATAACCCTACGAAATTATTTAGCCCTATGAAATAAACCTTTCAGAAAAAGAATACAAAGCCTTCCTTCATCGTGCATTCGACAGACGTCGTCCAGCAGAGTAATATCCCATGAGCTACGGTCACACTGCGGCGCGATGGTGGATCAGTACACGGTGCCAGAACATCGTCGACAAGGACTTGGACAGACTGTTGAAATGATTCTAGCACAGAAAATCATGAGGTAGTTCTTAATCTCATGAAAAATCAATTTTTAGGTTTCTACCTATTGTCTCGGGTTGGACATGATCTTTCAAGCTGGTACGGAACGAGAAGTAGCTGGGCTATTGGTTCACTACTGTTTTCAAGAGGGATGGGAGCAGAAATGGCCTTTTGCAGTCGGTAGGAGAGGATCCGTTCGAGACGATTGTCACCCTCACAAAATTATCAACCGGATGAGGGGGTCCAATAACGAGGGTCATTGGTAGAAAGCATTAATGATATGTCTTCATCCAAAAATCCTCGGTGAGTAGCCAGCCAAAACAACGCCTATGTGTATTTTATGGGCAACCACTAACTTAAGGGCCTAACAATAAGGCTAAACTCTTTGTCCAACATAGCATTGGGATTTTGATGCAGGTTTAGCGGTGCTGTCTCTTCTTTCCCTTCTACTTCCTCCCATCATGGAATGCCGTGAAAACTCTCATTGTTTGGTCAGTTTGACGAGCCATTCCCCTTGGAGTGCTCCTGGTAACACTAGCTATTGCCTCAACTATTATTATTTCAGCATCAACGAAGTGCCTTTCAAACTGGTTCCCAGCTACTTGACCTCTTTTATTTATTCGTCTCAAGAATCTCCATTCTGGACTTTATGGTCCCGAAACTCCTTCCCAGTGCCATATGTCATACAAAAATTTGAGACGTCTACGTAGACTTGCTTCGGAATTGTATTCAAATGTGTAAATAATTATGTGGCGTCTACGTATTTTGTTTGCTAGACGACGATGTTCGCTACATCTTTAGCCTTCCCATTCGAAGTGTTTCAGTAGTACTCATGGTAGTGAGACGAAGAAGAAAAGAAACTCATAAGACGAATATATAAGTACTTCATAATAAATGAAGTTGCATATAATTTCTATTGTATGATAGAACTATACATATTGAATATAGGCAATTGTACATAATATTATCATGGGAACTCTCGCCGGATAAAGCTTTTTACTGCTTTAGGTGTTCAGCACAGGGCAAAGCACAGAATGATTGCAGACTGCAGTGAAGTAAAAATTGGGGTTCTCATTACAACAACTGGACCAACTCTTTCTTAGGAGGATGAATGCTTTTGCAAGGAGTGATTGCAGCTCACTGAAATTTTCATAGCAATTAGAATTTTTCGAAATGACTGAAGAGGATGAGCCTTGGGTGCGAGACAATGTCAACCATGAGCAGTTGTTTGGAACGCTGACCTAATGAACGTTATCTTCACTACATCACACGATCATAATGAAGATTCTGATACGAGTGCGAAATTGCGGCATCGGACGGGGCTAAAACCCGCAGTTGCGCTCCACCTTCAGCACTTCAGCTTTATCTACCAGGTCCCGATATCCGTTGTCCTCGCCTTTTCAATGACATTTCAGCTTCAAGTTGCCAGCATTCACACATACAGCGACGACAGCTCATGATGCCCGCTTGTGTTCGTAGCTAGAGGAGAACCATACTTATCGCAAAAAAATAGCACTGATAGACAAGCTTAGTAGCATAATTCGAGAACCGTTACTTTGAGAGCTATTAGGGACATGTGGAAGGAAATGATTGACTACATGAAAGGTTGGTCGTGAAAATTCGGGAAGAAGTTCCGTCTCCCACAAAATGAGCAGCCTATTAAGCTCGCCACATCCATTTCCGCTTGTTTCATGCCAGAAAAGAGTCTGATGATGCGTGACGACCAATACGCTTTGTTTTGATGTCGTTCCAAAAAAAAGGGGCGATTTTTTGCGAAGTCATGATCATATTCTACTTATACGAATACGATTTATACTAATTTAGCGATTATAATACGAGGTTCCCCGAAGGGCCAAATATTTTCGTGAAACACCATCGAACCTTGAGTCAGTGAGAGAGTTCAAGAAGGCAGTAAGTGTACTTCATCATTTCGCCGGGCGCACGTTTAGCTGCGCGATCGGCCTCTTAAAACACCTTAGAATTCGTAATACCCAGAAATTCTATCAACTCGGATAATGGTCATTTCAGTTCTATACAGTTGCCGAGTACAGCAGTCAGTAGATTACGATTTATTTGGCTAGCTATTTTTAGAGATCATTCAGCATATCTTGATAGGTCTTCAGTTCTCTACAAGGAGAGTTCCTCTTCGCCTTTGCTCCCTTTCGACAGCATCAAAAAGTGCTTTGAAGTTGCCGGCTCCGAATCCCTGAAAATTCTTGGATTACATGTTGATTTGAAACGTATCTGGGCGAATGATTTTTTTTCGAATCTGTACTTTAAGGTATAGAAGCAATGAAATTGATGTATTCAGCTCGAGAAAACTTACGAATTAGCACGGTAAGCTGTTTGACAGGGTTGCAATATTATTTAAATTCATTCCAAAGAGTTTGCTATCGACCCATAGGAAAAGATGATTACTGATTGGTATCGTTCGCATCACGATGATGCTTGGATATTCGAAAAGAGAGAGAGAACCTTCTGGAAAACAGAACTGGGCAACGGCGAAAGCATAGCATAATGAAAGTCTTCCATCTGAGGCCACCTAAACTTTACGTCCTGCCCGCTAAGGGATTCTGTTATTGGAAAGAGAGACGGATAGAGCTTTCCTAGAGCCGTGCCTAATATCCCATATATGAAGCGCTAAACGTATCTGTTGGTTTGTATGTGTGTGTACTCCGGTTCCCGTGCACTAGGGGTTGCAAATTGGTAAGAGTAAAGGTGGTAGGATAGGAATACTTATAGTGAAGGGCAGGACTAGACCTGCCCACAGCGGCGGGATTTGCGTGAAATTAATGTTTGACCATAATTTCATAACTCCTCTTCACGTAGACCTACAGTGTTCAAATTTCGTAGCGGCACAGGCGGCAGGATAGAACACTGATGTTGGGTGGTATAAAGTGAGTGATTTGGGTTGAGCAGAACTCCGCTTATGTCAGGCGACACGGGGTGGTGGGGTGCGTGTGTTCGGCCGAAAATTTGTAGCTCCTGTTGTATTGTACCAGAGGTTCAAAATTTGGGAGGGACGTGGGCAGCAGGCTATTTTTACACGAGAAAGAGGAGCACTCGACTAGCGCCGGGCAATCTAATTGGTAGTCTTAATAAACGGATACTCTCTTATGCTAGACTACTAAGAAAGTTTGGTGTAATCCTCGATTCGAACATTCTCTGTTGGACGGTTCTATCCAGAGAAGTTCCGATCATTACACTCGTTTTATGGGTGAAGCGAATAACGCACTCTATTGGAGCCAACGGTCATGGCATTCTTTGTGACAGAATCAAACTCCACTATCATCGCGATGTAGGAGCTCGTTTTGGTGCAACTGATCCAAGCACATCAATTGAACACAAAGGATGATCTTGAATACCCTGTGCATTACCAGACATGATGCCCAAAGATAGTTCATTAGGATTTTTCAAAGAAAAAATTATTGCGCAAAACCGAAAACTGGTAATTCACTAAAATTAAAAATTGAAAGACAACGTCGCCATAGTCCGTACTACTAATAATACTGGGCATTGCAATTTCACTGAACGTGGGATCGGGCAATGACAGTCATCATTTGAATATGAGCAACATGATTTGTTATAATATTTATCTCTAGTAATTCAAGCTTTAGAAAGTGTCTCTATCTTTTAAAAATCATGTTTTTATGAGCATTTCACTTGTAGGTATGAGGGCATTCATGTGCAATATTTGGAAAACTTAGCGCATTTTCCAGGAATGTCCCCCGTTTGTGAGTAGAGAGTGAGTATTGCCATGTGAGACCGTTAATCATGCATAGCATGAGTATCAAAGATTTGATCAAAACCATCTTGAGCCCTTACATTCGTATGTCTCCCATGGTAATTCGGGCTATATCAGCTGAGGGGATGAAAATGCTGCCTCACACATCGGTTGAATATCTCAAGTTGTATTGTATAGAGTCAATTCGCATTTGAGTGGCACAAAATTCTTGACTTCAGAACAATGTGAAAGGTATTCCACGTATTGGAAGGCATACGTCGAACTAAAAAGGTCTTGTCTGCTGAAAAATTTTGGAACACAACTGTGTAATAAAACCAAGTATCTTGATTGTAACGAGCGCACAAAGCTACCTTTTAACAGCATCGCCATAGTCAGGCTCAAGCCACCTTGCTCTATGTTCTATTATAGAACCAACTAGGATCGCCATGGTTGAAGGAAGGCTCCTTTCAAACGGGCCAATCCCGTCAAGGGGCCCAACCCGGTCAGCGAAAAAGGATGGAAACTCACATTGAAATTTCGTCGTTGAATGATTTCAATGAAGAGGGTAGGTCGATCTTGAACAGGTCTCGTGAATAATTGCAACAGGTAGCCATTGTCGTCAAAATCCATCAAAATGCAGAGTTCTCGTAGCTGAACATATGGCTAATAAACCATTTATAAGAACGGTAGAATAGGGTAAATGGAAGGACAATCACTTTATAATCCTATAGGTCCCACAAAAACAAAGGCATTCCTCCTAGTGGGAAAATCTCCCCATTTTTGTATATCGGATTCTACTTGTATTCTACGTTATCTGCGAAAAAAGGATTCGTTGCTCCATCTGAAGGGTTGACTAACTGAGACTCTTGAGCGTCATGTAGTCTGAAAGGTCCCGCTTCGCCCATTCTCATAACACGTACTAGCCCAGAGCAAAAATGCGTGCGGGTATCAGACTAGTCTGTGAGGATAAAAGCGTTGGCTTGTGCAAGGTCGGACCAAATAAGGTCCCTCGATCCTTCGTCATGGACATGCCGGTACATAGATACCCACCAGCAGCTTGCCAGGCTCTGACGTGGAGGCTGGGTTGTTCCAGGTAGCTAGCCAGGCTATCTTAGAGCGAACGGGGAGCTCATTCCGAAACTCACTTATTACTTCCCAATAACTCAAATACAAACATTTAGTTGAGTCGTATGCAAGATACCGGCCGCATCCTCAAACTCTTTGCATTCCGAGGCGAGTGAGGGAGAAAAGATTCAACACATTAGGGAATCCATGTCCCGAACCCACTAAGTTTCTGAGAAGTACCGGGATTTTGTTCGTGATTTAGTCCCCTATCTGCCATTTGTGGTGCCCCCACGTCGCCTAGCCACCAATCAGCTGAAGGGGCTTCAATGAAAGAGAGCTCCAGCAAAGATACGCTTGGGTCCACGTTCTCTCACCGCGTAGGGTTATCGATCTGTGGCAGAAAATCATCATTAAATTCGAAATTGAGAAAAAAAAACTACTAGGTGGGATGTATCATGCGTAGCGATTATTTCCCTATTTCAAAAACAAACTGGACTCAAGTATGAACCAAGGTAAAGATTCAAATTTTCTACACTGTACTTCGTCAAGCACGTGAAGCACCTCATTTCTGTGTTCCAATGGAAAATGGCATTAACCATGACCACTCCTGTTGACGAAGACAAAAATGGCCAACCTTTTTCATATCTTCTTTCAGCTCAACCTTGGAATCTTTGAGGCGTTCATCAAGGATATCATAGTATGATTGTGGAACTTCCAGAAATTCCACGGTTGTCGTCAACAAGTAGAGCTATATGTTGTATTCCGGGACCACCATTATAGGACACATATTCCTTGAAGGCCACAGAATTACAGAATCTTGACAAAGTTGTTGTAATCCATTCCAAACCTCTATCTGACTTCTTCCTTTGCGACCGGGTACCGCCTCTGCTAGGGTCATTTGAACCTTCTGATCATCGTTGGTAATCAGCCATGCCTTCATAGCTGAAAACTCAGATGTTGTAATTTTGTCGTCAATCGACCTGAAATTAGCCGCACTCAAAGTTTCTTATTCCAAAACTGCCTTAAACCCCTAAAATGAACTAACCAAAATCGCTGCAGTGCCATACTTCGTTTGTACCACTCAGCGGCATCTTCAATCCCATTTACTGGATAGTTTTGTACCACATGGTCCAATAGCACAACAGGAATATCTCCTCTGCAAATTTATTTTGCTCTAAGACCGCTTTCAGAAAAACCAAAAGGTTTAGAAATTTTAATGAACTCACAAACTAGCAGGTAGCGGAAAATTATCCACAGGGGAGTAACCAGGAAGAAATGTACCCGAGTAGTTTCTGTCTTCGACCAATGTGTGGGTGATGTCGCTATCCTGAACCACTCGCAAATTTTTTGGAACTTTTCTCTTTGTTTTGATAAAAAAAGGCGAGTCTTATGGATCATCAACTGATCATCATATGAAAACTCACTATTATAGGCATGTTACCAAAGATAAGCATCCCGAAAATAAATACAAAAACAACTTGCAAAATGTATGCAAAACATCATGAGATCGTCTATCACCTTCGCCTGCAGCTTCAGGATGCTAACCGTGCCGTTCTCATCTCGATGAGTAGTTTTGGGAAGAAGTATGTCGACACCATTGTCGATGAGACGCTAAATCGTAGAACAAGTTCAAGAGAGTCATGTTATTTGCGGAATTAATGCTACTTCTACTGCTTTTATTTTGCCGCAGTCCCAGTTTCACAGGGCCTCAAAGTCTCACTAGACCCACGGAACCCACGGATTATGTGAAAACTATGAAGTCAGACGGGATTCGAACTTGTATTTGTACTTTCCTGGCATCGCGCTCTTCAACACTTCCGAGACCCTGCTTGTCCCTCCACCCCCTCCCACCGCCCCCAAGGTGCTACAGCCTGAGGGATACGTGCTCACATTCGACACCATACTGGATCATAATGGCGTAATGAATGCGCATGTGCTCTAAACAACGTTTTTTGGTGGCCAACGATGTACAAATCACAGCTTTTATCATCCCAGACAAGTCGGTCATCAAATAACCGACCCCGAAGGGATGGAAGGCCTGGTAGGTCTGGGCGGATATCGATCTGAGGATCAAACCCTTGACCACGCGATGAGTTACAACTTAAAAGCTATTGAGAAGGCGGGGGAGACGAGGACTTGGTAGTGCAAGTGATGAAGAGCACAGTACCAGAAAAACCTAAACACTGGTTCTAGCAGCGTCCAAAGATGAAGCTTTGCGAAGAAGTCTGATCTTATGAAAATTGAGTCTCAAGAGTAGTTAATTCTATCGTGGTTTATTACTATAAAGCTAAAAAATAAAGTGATTCTTGCCCATGATCATCGGTCACAAACCGATTTTTTCCGTGGACGGCCCTGTAGAGCGTTTTTGAGGAGCTGTTCTTCACTGAGGTCTCAGCTTCGTGCATCGAGGTACTTTGATTTCTGACAAGAAATTGGGAGCCCGCCAGTTCAGAAATTCTGTTTACACGTCTTTCCCTGAGTCCCCCTGACACCAGTCGATCAGTTTTGATGAAACTTTGAGCCCTTATTCTCTGGGGGGCGCGCGATTCACGCGTGACCCCATTAGAGCTCTTCGCGCACGCAGCATCGTTTCAATACCTGTCTGTTAAGATGGGCCAAATAAATTTCCAGTAGTCCACGGTTTCACCATGAATAGAGCAAATCTCTTTACTATGGCGAAAAAAGCCCCTTCGAGATTGAGACTTAACCTCATAAACCAACAATTTACCTGCCTACGTTCAAAATAAGAATACCATCAAATTTTTTGATCCTTGTTAACGCAAACCATCTGCAAACGTGCATAGTTGGTCATTTCTTTACTTATTCTACTTATAAGTTCTTATTTCTTCCGTTATGATGGTAGGAATGATGTTTTAGCGCGTTTTGTCCGATGACCTCATTATATTGACGCGTGAATCGCACCACACCCCTTATTGTCTCTATCTGGATCATTTTCAGTCCTTGTAAAGCAAGGGACGCCTGCACTAGAATCCATGTCAATCAGATGTTTTTTTCCTTCATGGGAATGGACCTGCTGATTCCGACAACTTCCGGAAAATCCATTCATACCTATTGAAATTTATGATTGCTCGTCTTATACGGTTCCTTGCTAAAATGTGCGGTCTTTCCCCCATTTGGATACCGGTGATTTTTGAAACATTAACAGAAATGTTGAGATAAGGAGTGATAGTTCTTCGAGCTGATCGACCATTGGAGTCACTCTGACTGATAGCGATAGTAAGGACGATTATTGGCACCAGAAGGATGCTTGGAATCTTCCAAAAAAAGTACTGGAATACCGTAATGAGGTGATGGAGGTTATCAAAAAGTCAATACAATTTTTTTTGTGAAAATTTGCTAAGATATACATAGCATCGTTTGATTAAACGCACCAATAAATTCCGCAGAAACTCGTACAGGAGATATACTCAAAAAATAACTCAGTCGAAAAATGTGTCAAACGTAAAGGGAATTCGCGTATCACGACCAAAATTCAAGTTGAAATGGTATGTTTCTTCTCGGTTTTTTTGAAAAATACCAACCAACCAACGTTGCGAAATCATAGTGTCACTACATGGTTTGTTGTTGCTCTTCGTTGTCCTTCCACGGAACTGTTTCGAAATTATTATGTTATTTCCTTCGAAGAAGATACTAAAAGGACAGGCTTTGTCAGACAAAATCCAGAGGCTGTTTAATCTCAAACTCTGCAAAATTAGGTGATCGACTGGAACAAGTTGGTTAACATTCTCTCTGTTGCGCCTCATCACTTATGTTTTTCTCTCAGTGTTTCTTCTGTGTTCTATGACGGTCAGAAGTTCAACTACGTGGTCGGGACTAAGCGCTTCTAGAGGCTCTACCTCAGAAGAAGCTTCGCTTCTCAAAGCAAAATTTCGAAAGTGGAGGTATTATAGCTTGAGCTGCAGTTGCATTAGCGAAATGTCTGAAGTTCTGCGAGAAAGAAAGAGCCACCTGGCTACCATGTTGCCATACCCTATAGTCTTCTAACCTTTCGGAGGCAAAACTTTCTTTTACATGCGAAGCAATGCACTCGTTCACGTCGGCCGGAGCGCCCAGGCTTTTTCAGCCGTGACCAGGTGCTCCTTCTGTCTTGGCCGGCAAATAGCAGCAGTCCAGTTCGCTATTGGAGAACGTTTGAGGGGTTTCTTCGGAAGTATTTACGCCAGTAAGGCCACTTTGAGGACACCCGTAAGCTCGAGAAGACTACGTCGATGAGTGGAATCGGTGAATAGAAAAGCTCTTCGAAAACATCTACGCAAGTTTGGACCTCTGTTTTTTTCAATTTCAGATAAGCGGAAGTTAAGCAGATTATTAAATTGGTGAAAAATTTATCTGTTGCGTTCAGATTGTTGCGCAAATCGTTTAATAAGGTTTATGATAATTTCGCGATGTTGCCCAAGAAGCATTTTTTCACAGAAATAAAGGAAAAATTTCCTAGAGTTCACTCCAAATGATGAGTGCTAAACGCTAAATTACCTTTACATTTGACATCTTTTTTGTTCCAGAAAGTCTAAACTAAACCTTTCTAAGCGAGTTTTCACGAAATTTCTGGATAGAACTGTACCGCTACGTGTAGGGTATCAATACCTGTTCAAGAGCGTCTATAGAATCCACACGGAATGCGACATCCTTAACAGCATCCCCATGCACAACCAGCTGTTGCAAAGTTTCTGGGTCACAAGACGTTGTTGATTTGATCACAAAAATAACCTACAAAAGTAAATACGTAAAATGTTTTCCCACTGTCAAAAATTACCAGTGGAGTCTTACCCTGCCGTTTCGTATGGCTATGCATGTTGCGTCTTCATCTCGTTTCTCAGCGAACCTTTGGAATCCAAAACAACAACAGTACCAAAATGATGACTGAAAAGTACAAACAACGAGTACGAATAATTAAAATCGTCTATAAAATTCTGCTTATAAACATTAGAAGGATCGATCGCTGATATCTAACACTCTTGCTATTTCCTATTTCCTCCTCCAGTTTCAAAATTGACGTTAGAAGATGAGTTTACTTATTTCAAGAAAACGATCATAACACATGGGTTATGCCGGCTGAGCAAAGTAGTTCCTTTCCTGGGGAGACGGGCGTTAGGAACGATTTTGGGTAATCGATTCGCCGCGCGCGGCTGTCGCGGACCACTCATTCGCCGTTATTACAGCTCTAGCGTTCTTCATACAGCCCAATCGATATACGATCATTATTTTGCGCATAATTCTCTATTAGTATTTTTGTTCTTGTATTTCTTACCTACTGGTGCATCCTGCTACATTCCTTCGCGCGACGTCCCTCTCACCGCAACGCGACCATTTCGTTCCTAAGGCACCACACCCCCTTTCCTATTAGTCCCCACTCTCTCACCAAAACGACGTCTCATAGCGTTTGATCGAAGAGGGGAAGGTTCGCTGGGAGCTCTGCCACCACTATTTTCAGGGTTTAGCACCGCTATGTATTATTTTAAAACCTTTACGAAGGGTAAGCATTGTTTGACTATGCCTTTACTAGTGATGCTAGTGATATGCCTGAAGTTCCAGAAAAAATTTTCAGACTTTGCCAACACTTCTAGAATCGATCGCTATAAATATCGCAGTACCGATGATATATTCCTCCTGGGTATGAAAGAAAAGTAGCATTTCTGACCCCTCCCGTCTGCAGTTTATCTACGGCTTTCAGGAGTGCAACTTCGGAAATATTCAAAGCATTTGTGAACTGCTTTTGAAACTGAGCAATCACATCTTGAATCAGCGAAAAGAAATAAGCATCAAAAGATTAGTTTAATTAAGTTGAAATGCAAGGAAATAACCATTGGGGTGAAGAGAAAACTGAACCTGAAGAGCATTGGAAACGCGAAATTCGATATGATGAAAGTCAGCCAATCCATTCATTACTGAATTGCGAGTCGGATCAGCGAAGGAACTTTTCAGAGGCACCTACAGGCTTAACCGCTCGGACGATTGTTCGGACGATTGCCTACCTGATAGCAAAGTCGGTGAAGACTAGAAAAAAAAGATAATCAAAATATCAACGATTAGAGTTGACATGAAGGGAACTGAACGGAAAAAAGTGAAGTTTATAAATCTTCTCTGTGATGATCAATGTTATGACGGCAATGTGATTTCAATATTGGTTCAGCAGTAGATCGGCCTATTTGATCTCTGTGTAGCTTGGAATCTCGAAAAGATACTTCACGATATTTCTGAATTATTTAGTTAAACTGGAACGGAATGGACACTGGAACTGGAACGTTTCAGAAATAGTTACTATCGTAAACTTGCCCTCAATCTTTCGTAGAGATACAGCATTTGGACCACCTCATAGAAAACTACTAGTAAAGCTACTGTAAACAGTATGCTAAAATTATAATACGAGCCGTTCCTTTCCTGATTTCAGAAAAAGGCAATTTTCTGGCTCAGAAAAAGGCTAAATTGTGTATTTGATCGTGCAATTTCCTAAGATTCAAATTTTCGACCATTCGATTATTTCTGTTTTTTTTCTTGATTATTTCAATATTACTAGGCACAGCTGCCACATGCGTTGAAAACAGCTACCGAAACATATTTCAAGGGAATTGGCTGATTTCTATTAACTCAACCGGAAGAGTCTCAGAAAACAGGAAAAAAGTGGGCTATCGAAGAAACCTGACGAAAATTAGCAAACGCAGCTTCAGACCTGGTTAAGGCGTCGAGCGTGGGATCCTTAAACTATCAATTTTTTTCTTACCCTTTCAAATCTCGTGAGACTTTCGAGAATGGTAGTAAGTTCTCACATTTCCAATTATTTAGATCAGTAACACATTCGTACGCATCATATTCAGACACAAATTATTTCCAATTAATCAAAAACGAGACGTTCAAATTATGTTTACTATGAGGTTTAATCAAATTTTATTCAAAAAAATTTCCAGTGAGTAAGATCGAAAACGGGATTGGTTTGCGGTACCAATTGCAACATTTGTCGATATAAATGGTGGACCGTTATCTGTGGGTACGCTCGACCAATGTCTCCAATTGTGATAGCGCGACCATTGGTGTGAGAGGGCATCGAAAGGCCAACATGTTGAAAGCTCGTCGCTAGAATGATAAAATGAAGTTTTTCAACGTCGAACCTGACCTACGTACCGGATCACGAAGTTTGAAGTATGGCGCCTTCGTAACTCCAGAACAGAGGCTAAGAGCTAGGTATGTATTTGCCGACCCAGTCCTTGACTTCATCCCCATTCTTGAACCTTTGCATGGATTCAAATAATCATTCATCACCTACGTTACGCAAAAAGTCACCAGATAACTTCGTATTTTTTTTTTATTTTTAAGTGCAAATTGTTTATATGTAATCTTCATAGGCAACAAAGACAGAACAATAAACTGAGTATCAAAACAATGCTACATCGTTAGACTCATAATCGCGTTCACAATGTCATTGTCCGCAGATCGCAAGGCTCTAATCGCTTTGT